GAAGAGCAATATAACTAATATTAAAAAAATATGAAGCAATGTTACCAATGTAGAAGAAGAATTATAAAACATTTCATGTGTGAATCTTGAGTTTACATTGGTTACATTGATAATAGTTTCTGGTAATATAACCAATGTCAAAAAAAAACATCGTTAATGGATGATTATTGTTTTTATTTTTATTTTATTAAATATTTCGTAACAATGGTAATTTATTATTAACAATATTTCAACTGTTGTACATAGAATTCAACTGTTTATTAACAGAAAATAAAAAAAAAATTATAAATCAATGTAGCACAGTGGGAATCGAACGGTACGCGCGATCTTCAAGTCAAGCAACATTTAGGCCGGTGGTAAATATATGGATGGGTGACCGAAAGGGAACACCAAAAATAAAAAAAAGCAATATAACCAATGTCAATACCAATGTAGTTCTAAATTTATTTTCTTTTTTCTCAATGTATTATGATTACATTGCTTTTATCATTTTTACATTGCTTCTTTCTTTTCCTTGATAACATTGAATTGACATTGCTACTACAGAAAAGGGAATTATGCAAAGGATACAATGTTGAACCAATGTAATCTTAAACATTGAAAATGAAATTTAATTTAAATTATTTTTACATTGGTTGTATTTCTAAAAAGCAATGTAACCAATGTACAACCCATCGAAATTTTTCGACTCGGGATATGTTAAAAACTCATTAAAAGTCAATTGCAACTTGAGGAAATATTTTTTTTTTTTTGAAAAACAAACAATTGATGAATAATTACAGAAATTATGAAGATACAAAAAAACACATTCCGATAACTTTTATTGATGAAAAATTTCAAGTAAAAATTCTATTATTTAAAGAATTTGTAGAAATGAAATAAAATTTCAACTTAAATGAAGACAAAAATTTTAAAAATCTACAATTTCACAAATACAATTGATATTAATCTGAGCAAGCTGTGAAAATAGAGACGAAAAAAAATAATATAATTTATCGTGAAAGAAGCTGATACATTATTTATTCTATGTACCATCTTCCTAGGCCTCTTTACTGTATTTCTACCAAGTTGCTACACGATAAGTGGCCGTAAAATTGAGACAAACTCCAATAGGTATTCATGGTAGTGTCTCTTGAAGCAAGGAGATGTATATTGAAGGACGTAGAACAATGAGGAAGACCTGGACCGTTTTCCAGACTTTTTCTAAGAAATGAACCCTTGAATATTGAGGGAATCAACTGGAGAGTGACAAAAAAGACGTTTGATAAATTATGCATTCCACGAAATTCTTTGTCTGCAGGATACGTCACAATCGTCCACTATGACCAATTTTGTTTTACGTGTGTCATCTCATATGATTAACGATTAAATTAATATATTTCATACATATAATTATTTTGAAGCATCAATTTACATGACTATTTCCCTAATTGACTTGCATATGCTGCATTAATAATTGAATCATTCAAATACATAATTTAAGTCATTTGAAATTTCATTATCGATGGCTCATACATGTCAATTACTAAATGATACATTTATTTTTATGGTAGTATCATATTTTGAACGAATGTATAAATAGATTTATCACTTGAGTTTGAGTAGAAAAAATAATAATTGTGTTTAACTTTTCCTAGGTTGATAAAAAATACAAAGTCTGGAATATTCTTCCGGTTGATGTGATGAGCGAGAATTTTACCCGCACACCTTGCATTTTTTAATATCCGAGAGTGCTTGCTGACGGGATCGACGATGCGCCGCCACAACGCTTTCGATGTTATAGCGGATATTGAAAACTCCAAGTATCTAGTAAAGTTGAACAGGCAAAGGTTTTACAGAGCCGATGCATTTTTATACAATTGCTCCATTTGATGTTCTCTTATGTGGCAACTTTTTCATCTGTACAGTAATAATCATTTCGTTTGAACATCATTACTTGTATAACAACCTATATCAAATGTTATCCTATACCATAAGGCTGAATGAAAATAATATCAAACAAGCATAAGGATTCAAGCTTTTGATCATTCTCTTCAAACACTTTTATTATCAGCATTATCTTCATACCCCTGTCAACAATAGTTATCGTTGGCACATGATAATAGAGATTCCAGCTCACTGTGGGATCAATCAACTGATAAAAGATGCAATTCAATTATGTAGGACACGTAATCGCAGTGAGAGCGTAACAGCCCAAGATTCAGATGAATCTGTCGGCTAAATTAAATTCTGCTACAAGAGCTGATACACAGAGGCATATAGAGATAAATATATGTGCTGCTACTAGTTACAGAAAGAAATAGTTTTTCATCCTACGCCACTGGACGGGATATTGATCGAGGGTCGTTGAGGCCCTTATACACTGTGGTTTTCTCTCTCTGGCGCCGGCCTAGTCACTATACAGTCCTTATAGGCTTACTAATACATTTGCTTGATACTACGGAAATTTAGTCGTGGGTAAGGTTCGCCGCAATTCTTAGCTGATTTAAAACTCCTGTTCTTTTGTTCCTAATTTAACACCACGTCGAATGTCTACATGATAACAAAAGATCGTTTAATTTTTAAACCATCATTGTTTTTAAATTTGTCTAGATTTTTATCTACTGTCAATTTCGTATATCCTTTTTATACAGATAATACTTCAAGTGAGCCAACCGATTATTGGTTACTGAAGAACCGATATTACTATGGGATATAACCACTTATGAGACCACATCGGGATTTCATTTTGACCGGAAATAAATCGACATCTATCATTGCTGTACTTGGACTACTCACAATACAACAGACGTATTCAATTTTGTCAAACTGTTCAAGATTTTGTCTGTGCAATATTTTATAGTAAAACTCATCAGATAATTAGTTACATTTATGTACAATATACCAAATTGACTCAAGAAAAACAAAATTGTGCGATGATTATTTTTAAAAAATTCATGAGTCTGGTTAGTAGAAAAATATTCATGAATTTGATGAGCTTATTCTCATATAGGATAAAAAAGTACATATTTTATTTAATGACATTTTTAAGAGGATTAAATAAAAAACTAAAACATCAGCAAAATTAAATCAAATAACTCTGAATACTACGATTGAATATGGCATTTTATTTTTTCAATATGCTTCTACAAAGATATTCAAAAATGTATGTAGAGAGATCAAATCAACGAGGCTTATCCTGTGCTGATAGTATATCGTGCCATAATTGTTCGGGTGTATTTTGGAGGCTGTGCTACTGACATGATTAATTTAACGCGACATACACGCGAGGGAAAAGCTGTGGTGGTGAACGTATCAATCCCTAAGCTTAATTCTAAACTTAACTGATGGACGACATAATTCGACAATTTATTTGTTGTCAGCACATTTATATTTGTAGTTTGCATTTATTACCTTGATATCTCCTTTTTATACTAACAATTAATGGTGAAAGATTGATGAAATGAAATGACCAAACGAATGGAAAATTAGTGTATCATAAGCTAAAGTAACGCTTCAACAATTTCATGGGTTATTTTTTCAGTAGAGTTATAAGTTATTTACAAACTCAATTATACTCAATTAAATTTTTTATATTTTATAACAATTACGTGGGAGTCAATCTACTAGGTGATAAAAACATAATAAAAAAGAGAAAATTACTCGGCTATGAATATAGTGGCGTAGAATATCCGAGATCGTTTTACTAGCTATTATATTCTATTATCACTAGCACTCTTTCGATAAAGTGGCCAATCAAAACCATCTGCGTGAGATTGTATAAATTGTATGATATAGTATTATGTGTAGGGTGATTCACCTACGTGTATAATATTGAATAAAATAAAAGAAATATCTTCAATACTTCTTTTATTAATTGAATCACTATCAATATGATATCGCAAAAAAATTATGTAGTATATATATTTATCAATGACAGCACATTTTTTAACAATGTTGAGTGTTGTTAAAATTATTTCACCCATAATAAATTCATTAAATTGTGTCATATATAATCAAATATAGAATCTAACTGGTTTGTTTGATTATTGGAGGTTTGAAAAATTAATTGAATTTCTCAAAAATGGAAAAACTTTTGATTATTCAAAAAATTTTGTAAAGTTACTATTTTAAAAATTATTAAGTCTTGAAAAATTTATTGGTTCCAAAAAAAAACACTGTATTCTTCTACAGATCACTATGGATCTATTTCACAATGTCAAATGACAGAATCACTTGATTAATAGAGAAAATAAAACAGTCTAGTAATTTCCTCTGATTCCCTGGAATCTGGGAAACTTTGAAACGTGGATATCCTATCGTTGAGTGAGGTGGAAAGGTAAAATTGATTTTATCCTTTTTGAAAGGAAGAAATTGGAAGTTGCTTTCAAATTCTTGGAGAAAAAAAGAAGTGGAAGAATGCAGGTACAATGTAAAAATATCTTAGACTTTGAATGTATATATATATTTTAAAGCAATATAGCAAAGTTCAGCTGTTCAAGATGTTTTTTCGTGAAAAATCTTAGCCGATTTCAATACAGGAAAAGGAAAGACGAACAAATTCACTTGGTGGCTATTTATTGCACCGGATTCAATACATGTGAAAATCAGTAATATTATTCCTTATTATAGCAATCATCTGAGTGCAGCAATTGTTCTTGAATTGAAACAGCGTAAAAATAAAAAATATTTTTACCATCTGAATGTAGTTTTCTTCCACATTCTCATCTATCTGAATACCCATGTAAGTCCACGTAAAAGTATGCACATGTGCTAGAACATCATTTTCTTTCACTCATCCAATATATGCCGTTTTACATGTTGAATGTGAATAAAATGATAAAAAGACATTTTTTAAGTCTTGGTTGCGTACAGACTAAGGTCTTTTTTTATCAACTGAACCTTGGCATTGAAGTCCATGTGCGCGCGAGCAGAATAGTAGATTTTTTTCTTTCCACCTTTAACATCGACAGTATCTCCCCTTTATTTCCTGAGTCCCGTTGCTATTCATTTCAATCTCATACTTTTTTTTTACAGACTATTGTCGGACTAGACGCTTTGAAACTACTTTTCACCAGAGATTCCATTTGTATACGAACCTAACTCCCATTATGCGTTAGTGTATTCGCGGTGACGAGGTGGCTGCTCCCGGGTATATGCGGGCTTGAAACAACCCTCATTCTCTCTGGCTCAGTCCAATCATCTACCTCTCATCATGTGTCTTTCCTGCAGCATCTCCTACCTAGAATATACTATAGTTAGAAGATCCTATGTTTTGTTGTCAACTAACCCATCATGCTTGTAAAATTTTCAATGTCACGTACCACAGGTCTGCTTGTTAAGAAGTCCAGGAAAGAGTTTGCGTATAACCAGGAAAATAAAAATGGCTGATTATCATCCGTTATGACAGCGGTGTACTATCTGTCTTAATAAAAGCGAAAAGATAAATCTTTGAGCATAATACTTTTCTACACGCTAGAGATATATGTATATATCTCACTCTGGAGGATAGTCCTACGATATTCTAAGCGACCTCCTTGCAATTAATTGCCTCGTTAGCCCACACTATCTATTCTCTTCATTAAATCCCTTATTTGGATATTCAACTGCAGCAACGATGAAAGCATGTAATCAATTGTTGCTAATTTTTCTCATTATCTAACATTCTGCAATGGTTAATAGAAGAAGAAAGCGTTACAAAATTTCGCTTACCAACATGAAAAAGAGAAAAATTAAATACTGAGTGGCAGTGAGAAGTATTCTTTGACACGCACTGTTAAATAAGTCGATGAAAATGAAGTTACTATTCATCAAGTAATGACCGGATATACGGTCCAATAATTTGTAATGATGATGAGTGAGAGGTGATCTGAGAGGAACGAAAATTTCCGGGGTCATCCTTACGTAACGGATGAATAAGCTCGTGTTGTTGTAATACATCTGGCCGTTGTGCATCAGCCGCGCCTTTGTATCTTCAGGCAACACTCAAGTTATCCAGTTTGACGACTTATAATAGTCAGCATTTGCATAACTCACAAAAAGGTAGGTCAGTAACAATCTGAAAATACCAGTTCGTTAAACCCATAATATTCTCAAGTGATAATCGTGAGGTCATAGCTGCAAACCATCATTAACGACCTGAAATAAAATCAGAGATAATAAATTATATGACTGAAATTTATTTTTATATCAAGAATAGTTTTTATTAGAATATGTGAAATCAACAATCATTTTTAGTTCATATACTTTCGTAGAAGTGTGACGTATATACTTGAATTTTCAATAATAATATATTTTTTTTGTTTATTTATAATAGCTTAATTTGACTTTTGATGAGATCAATAATGCGTAATACTTGCTTTTCACGACTTATTTTATAATACATTATTATGATATTTGTACTCTAGAATAATTTGTATTGTATAATGTGTATTTTTGATCATTCAAACAAAATAATAATTAACTACATAATTATAAATGACAATAGTAATAATAATATTAATAATGATTAAGTAATTAATACTAATGATTTTAGTGCTTTCAAACTGCATCTATTAAAAGTAGATAGAATTGGAAAAACATTGGTTTTACTGCATTTTATTTATTAACAATGATTGATGAACTTTTAATTAATGGTTCTTGTTGAACAAATAATTATTTATTAATAAGTTGACCTCTTTTTACAATAATTGTGATAGTCAGTATATCTTATAAGAGCATAATCCATATCCTTTCCAGTTCATCTTTTTTAAAGATGATTATGATTTTCTCAAATCAATAAATTTTTTACTTTCCCAATAAACAAGAATGATATCACGTAATGATGTAATAACATTTTCTTAAATTTTTCATCAAATCTTTGTACATACATTTAGAAATAAAACATCTTGTTGAATTTATAAATAATTTTTGGATAGTCTTGATACAATTATTAAATTGTAAGAATGCTTAAATATATTTACAGTTTCTTGCATCAATGTTTATTCAATTGTGTTAATAATTTTAAATCAACATAAATGGCTTTAATATATGATAATCAATTATTGATTCCTATTCTTAATGAATAAAAGTTAGTAGACCGCCCGAGTCGAAAAATTTCGATGGATTGTACATTGGTTACATTGCTTTTTAGAAATACAACCAATGTAAAAATAATTTAAATTAAATTTCATTTTCAATGTTTAAGATTACATTGGTTCAACATTGTATCCTTTGCATAATTCCCTTTTCTGTAGTAGCAATGTCAATTCAATGTTATCAAGGAAAAGAAAGAAGCAATGTAAAAATGATAAAAGCAATGTAATCATAATACATTGAGAAAAAAGAAAATAAATTTAGAACTACATTGGTATTGACATTGGTTATATTGCTTTTTTTTATTTTTGGTGTTCCCTTTCGGTCACCCATCCATATATTTACCACCGGCCTAAATGTTGCTTGACTTGAAGATCGCGCGTACCGTTCGATTCCCACTGTGCTACATTGATTTATAATTTTTTTTTTATTTTCTGTTAATAAACAGTTGAATTCTATGTACAACAGTTGAAATATTGTTAATAATAAATTACCATTGTTACGAAATATTTAATAAAATAAAAATAAAAACAATAATCATCCATTAACGATGTTTTTTTTTGACATTGGTTATATTACCAGAAACTATTATCAATGTAACCAATGTAAACTCAAGATTCACACATGAAATGTTTTATAATTCTTCTTCTACATTGGTAACATTGCTTCATATTTTTTTAATATTAGTTATATTGCTCTTCTAGATGATTAGTAATGTAACCAATGTAAACTCAAGATCTACATGTAAAACCTTAATAATCTTACTCTTACATTACTAATATTGCCATATATTAATTTAACATTGCTTATACCATTTTCAATGTAAGAATGATCTTAGCAATGTAAAATAAAATTTTTTAGCAATGTATCCAATGTAAAAGTTATGTTATAACAATGTAATCAATGTAAGACCCATTGAAATTTTTCGGGTCGGGCAATCATCTTAAAAGCATGACTATATTTCATATATTAATATTAAAATAATAACATTTAAAATTTGGTTAGAATTAATATGAGTCAAAGAAAGTTGGAAATTTCGTTATTAAAATTACAGCTATTAATCCACAAAGAAATCGCTCATGCTGAAATAATGTTGAAAAGTTTCTGTTCTCTAAATTTGTAAATTGCACTGTTATTCATCATAGTGAATAAATTTATATTTGGATTAAGATACTCGGCACTAGGTGTGCATATAATTTATCCAAGATTCGAGACAATAGACAAGTTCTAAAGTGAAAGTCAGTCATGTTTAGTGAGTAGAATTGGTGGATTACTTACTAAAACTTTCAGCGATGTAAAATGAGTACTCTCTTTGGCATAAAAGGAAGCGAATGGTGAAAGACGAGGGACCTGATAACCGAATAAAGCTATATTCTCCTATTCTACACTTGATCACGTGCTACGGTGCATCATAGGTGTGAGAACTGTTCTATTTAACGAAAACCTTTTGAGACAGAATACAAAATGACGTTAGTTAAAAAGAATTTTCTCTAATGTGACATCATATTAACGCTGAAAGAACATATTAGTGTGATACTATTTCAATATAATATGCTGTTAGAAAAAGGTGATGACAAATTCTCGATGTATACACTGATATATATTGTGAAAGACGTCAAAGTCGAAAGGAAGAGAATTTTGTTAAAATCAGCTACCACATAAATAGCAATAACTTAAAGGTATTATTGTTGAGGGAAAAAACTAAAATGAAAGTTTAGTATGAGTTAAAGTGTAAAGTCACTTAAAAAAAAATTCGACCCATCAAAGTAAATGAAAGCTCAAACACTTTTCATGCCTTCGTTTTCGCTCAATAAGTGTTAAGAATCTTTACTTCAATTTCCACAAAGCTGTCGGAAATTAAAAAGAAATGGTAAAAGGTCATTGAAAATGAAAAACTAGATGGAAAAAAATTTCTCAAGTAGTTTGATGATTCAATTATCTAATTTTATGTACTTTTTTAATTATAAATAATAAAAAAGCATGAGGATGAAAATCGTGAATCAAACCAACCAGATCTTTCATATCTAATTAATTACTTTAAAACTTGAAAAACTTTTATTTCACTAATTAAATTGGCGAGTAAATTTAAGAAGCTAAATTTTTAAATTTCTTTTCATTCATAATTTAACTATATCACTTCATAATAACACTCATGTTAAAAAATTCACGTACATCGATTTTTAGAAAACATGAACAACGATTAAAATAAAAGATAGGTGAAATGAATCAGATTTAGAAAGACAAACAATAGACAACAGAGAATAACAGTCGTATTTTAGAAGAATATATAACTTATTGCTTACTTTTTTCTTTTCTTCGTGTCATAACTTGACCGAGCTCTCATAGCTGCAATCAGGGGTTCATCTTCGCTCTAGGAAAGCTCGTGAAAGGTCAACGATCCACCCAGAAGAAACAAATCCATTCGTGAAACGAAAAGTGGGTTGATAGCTATAAAGCTTACTCTTTTTTGATTCATCTACTTTCATGATTTTACCTAATTACATAACTTGAATATTTAAACAAGATAAAGAAGAAATCAGAAAAATAACATTTCACATTGTTAACAAACCTAATCAATTAGAAGATAGGTCAAGTAGATTTTTTTAACATAAAGCTTTTGATGATAAATTTTATGTGTTAAATCAAATAAATGAATTCGTCAAACAGACTTTACTTAACGTAAATTGCATTCCAATAATTTAACGTTGCCACTTGACATTAGAATTGACGAGGAAAATGTAACGCAAGAGCGATTTAACTAAGCTTCTGTTATCGAATGTTCGAAGCCTACATGAAATTAACTGATGTTAATTACTCTAACAATATTAAACTTATAAATCCTTATCCTTTTACATCCTAATGGTGTATTAAGTTTACAGTCTTGAAAAATAAATGTCAACTTTATGAATTATGATAAAATATGCATATCAGCATGCTGATTGTTCTAAATGAAGAAGAGATTCTCTATTACAAGTTTATATAAAATTTAGTTTTTCCTTCATAAATCTCTAGTGATCTAAATTTTTTTGTGTGTTACTTTCGAAAAAAAATACTTTTTATACCGAGATGCCTTCAATTGAAAGAAAAATATTTTCTAGTACATTAATTAATTAAAGTGTTTTTTTAAAAGCTTTCTTATATTCTTATTTATTGTATAATATTTTTTATGAGTCATCAGTCACGTAGACATAATGAAGAACCTTCTTGATTGAAAATTGTTTGCACTTTTTGATTGAAGTAGCTAGCTGTACCTATTCGATGAGAATGATTTTGAATATTAATAAAGAAAAAATTGGAATATTATTGATTCGATTAATAGTACCTTACAATATGCTTCATTAACTCAAGTACATGCAAAGTTTTATCCAGCTCAAACCCTTGACCTGTTTTAATTACCTTCCGTTATACCATGCAATACTGTAAGAAAGGTGAAAGACCTTTTTATCCAATAATATGATACATTTTATTTTTTAGATATCAGCACGAGCGTTGCCCACCCCAAGAACATTGTTACATGCTTTAGCGATCTTATTGATTTCGAGATGTAAGATGCAGTCACCATGAAATTCATTATAGACTAGTGATTTAAAGATTCAAGCATTATTGCATTCCACAAAACTTGTGAGTGCTATTTCCATAATCCTCTTAAATGCTTCGTGTTTCGCTCGTTGTCTCTTTGAATAGTTGAACTAAACAGTTGCAGTTAAAATCAACTGATCAATAATACTTTCACATAGTGAATCTTTCGTATTTTTCTTCCTATAATTTTCTTTATAAATCACTTTGATAATATAATTATCTTTAAAATACTTCTACCTACATTCACTAAATGTTATAAGGATGTACTATGCGACTCTGATCAGAATACTAATAATGACAAGAATTGATTTAGGAAACATGGTACAATCATGAAACTACTACAATGACAATAATATCTTCAAATAGGACTCTTATTAAGTACCGTAAAGTTTGTTTACGGGATTTCTGACAAATCCCCTCATTGACGCGATGCCGAGAAAGAAAACGAGAGCGTCGCGACTTCCTGACGCCGAACGTCTAAGTTTGATTATCAAACGATCGAAATTCCAATGTGGACCTATACGACATCAATGTCTACCTGAGTCGATTCTATTTAAACAAAACCAAAATAAAAAGAATTCCATTGACATCTATAAACTTTTGTTGTCAATGACAATTTAATCTACAATAAAAAATTATTGTGAGGCAAGTTCTCGTTCTACATTATTTCATTCATAAAATATTTGGTAGGACGAATGAGCATATTGATTTTTCGTCTCATGACTCATGAGGTTTTTATTCGCCCTATATTGAGCCGTATTATATTGTGAAGAACAGCACTGCGTCAGTTTCAACAAGTCTTCATAACTACTGCGTCATATAAATTAGGTATTTTACTATAATCATTGTTACCTCACGACATATTCAAATGAAACGTCTATTTATTATGATCCTGAAGAATTAAATGCAACTGGTACTTTATACCAAGTTAATGAGACATCTTTTCATTGATTTATTTCATTAAAAAATTGATTTATCACTAAGTTATATCATATGAATAGAAATATCAATCAATGATTTTATTCAGATCCTTGATTTTTATTCTAAAAAATATATTTTTAATCAGAAAAAATAATTTTTATAAATAGAAACTATTTAATATTATTATAAAAATAATGTTGTATTTATAAAAAACTTAATTAATGGTAATTTTTAGTAAAAAAATTCACTTAAACACATTACAACTAACGATCATTTCTTTTCGTAATTCAAACTAAAACAAGTCCAATACGGTAACGATCTTTATCAATACTATTAACTTTTACATTAACTCTTTGACCAAGTACAAGAAGTTTTCCTTCTGAATTTTTCCAATGAACAAGTCCATCTTTTTCGACGCCAATATCAATGAATACGCCAAAATCTGTAATATTTCGTACTTCGCCACTAAGTACGGATTCTACACTTAAATCATTAATACTTCGTAAACTTTTTCTAAAAAGTGGTGCCTTATACTGAAATCTTATGTCTTCACCTTTTGACATTGTCAGTCCTTTGTATATTATTTCCAGTGTTGTTGCATTAGTATTAAATAACTCAGTTAACTTGTCGAAACCTTTATTAGCGATGAACACATTGACAGCAGAAATAAAATTGCGGGTACCTAAATCTGCTATATTAACTTTCGCAGCTCGAATGAATGCATTTGCGATGTTATATGACTCTGGATGTATCCATGTTTGATCCAAATAATTAAAATTGATTTTTCGTGAATCCTTTGATTGTTTCGTTGATTTCGCAGTTTCAGGTAAAATTCTGATAAATCCAGCGCATTGTTCAAAAGTTTTACTACCGATATTTTTAACTTTGAGCAGCTGTTTTCTGTTGATAAAAGGCCCATTCTTCTTTCTCCATTCGATAATGTTTGTAGCTTTAGTCTCAGATAAACCAGCAACTCTCTTTAGGAGACTCTGTGACGCAGTATTTACATCGACACCAACGAAGCTTACCACTTCTATCACGACCTAATAAACACAAAGCGAATTAATTAATACTCGATGCGGGTTACAGAATTTTGACGGTAACTATTTAAATACTCATTACTAACTTCATTCAATTTACATATTAACTGTTTCTCAGGCATATCGTGCTGATACATTCCTACTCCCAGGTGTTTAGGTTCAACTTTAACTAGCTCTGCAAGTGGATCCTGAAGCCTTCTAGCAATTGATATTGCTGATATAATATTGTAATCTAATTTTGGAAATTCACATTTAGCTTCAGTAGTGCAACTATATGTTGAAGCCCCAGCTTCATTAACAATAGCATATAAAATATTTTCATCGCCAAATGCTCTGGAATTAATGAGATTAGAAAGAAATTCTTCAGTTTCTCGACAGGCAGTAGCATTGCCTAATGCTATTGTCGATATTTTATGTCTATGAATTAAACCAGAGAGAACTTCAGTCGCTTCATTTTTCCAGTCACGAAATATTTGGCCTTTTTCTTTATGAGGGTAAATAGTTGCAGTATCTAACACATCGCCCTGCTCTGATATAACAGCTATCTTACATCCATGAGCAAATCCAGGATCTATCCCAAGAATTTTTTTACCACGAACAGGCTGTGTAAGAAGTAATTGTTTGACATTTTTTGCAAACACTTCAGTTGATGCTTCTTCAGCTCGCTCATTCATTTCACTTCTCGTTCTTCTGATAATTGCTGGCTTTATAGATTTTTTATATGCAAGACGAAATCCATTGTTTATGAGTATGTTATGAAAAGGTGATGCATTCGTACCAGCTTTGAATATATTCAAGATAAATTTTTTAAGTGTTATCTCAAAGCTATCAGGAACTGTCACTTGTAGAGATATAACTTTTTCTTTTTCAGCTCTATTAATAGCTAAAATTTGATAAGGATAAATATTTTTATTTGTGTTTGTCCAGTTATAATACATTTCATATTTATTGTCATCATTTTTCTTTTTCTTAGCTGGATTTTCAGTCGTATTAGCTTTCACAGATTTCTTAGTTTCTAATTGTATAGGAATTTTTTGTCTTAGTTCTTTGATTTTTTCAAAAGTCTTATTATCTTTACAAATGATATCTGCTATGATGCAAATAATACCGTCCTTGATTTCATCCTCACTTTCTAATCCTTCTCTACCTGAATCAATTAGACTTCTTAAGTGAGGAATCTTATCACCACGTAACACTGCTTCCGCTACTCCACCTAATCCGAGCTCTCTAGCTTTATCTGCTAAATTTCTTTTGGAACCAGTTCTGTATAAAGCATAAATATCTTCAAGTTCATTTAAGGTCTTTGCTGATTTAATTGCATTATAAATTTCTGATGATCCTTTTCCTGACTTTTCAATAGCTTTTATAATAGTTTCAGCTTTATGTTTAATTGTTTTAGATTTATCATAACTTTCCTTAACTTCTCTTAATTTATCTGCGTCTAATCCACCTATTTGATTCTTTCTGTATCGCGCAATGAAAGGAATTGTATTATCATTATCAAAATACTGTAGAATAACTTTAGTAACAGATTCAGATATATTCGTAGAATGAGAAACATAATTGATATGATTCCAGTCATCTGTTAGTAATTGTGTATTTACATTTTGTTTCGTCAAATTTCCTGCTGATACATCGTCTTTAGATTCTGTTTTTAACTTTTTTGATGACAGACAACCCATTGTTGCTTCAGATTCCTTTAATTTTCTCTTTCTTTTAACTTTAGTAATAGTTTCTGGTTTATTTTTTCCAGTATTTTTTTTCGAAATAACTTTTATATTCTCTTTACTAGAACTTAATTTTGGCATGACTCACACTGAGAACATAAACAAAAAATAAAATTAAATCATGTAACACCGATAAATATAAAAAAATAATTTAATTTTATGAAAAATCATACACACATATCAATCATAACATTATTTAACTGTGATAAACAAAAAATGTGTATCATTTTCAACTTTCCTATTTCTTATCACTAAAAATGTACTTTATAAAAATTGATGTCAGTAGAAGAATGATGCGTCTGAATAAGTCGAACGATCAAACCATAATGAAAATATTTTTTTAAGTACCTTATCGTCTTCAATTTAGATGGAATGAAATTTAAAACTTGAGTATTTTATGTTGAAGTGAGATAAAACATATCGTAAATGTGACAACAACGTAAATTTTAATTGGACCCTTAAATGCAAATAATGCCAGCGACGCGTCATGAAAACAGCCTTTAAAATGGTCGTTTCAATTTAAAAGCATAAGATATTACACACAGAGATAGAAAATCACACCAAAAACAGCCCTAACGGACTTCACAAAAATACGCGCCAAGTATGAATAACGAAGACGATAATCATCGTTCATCAAGTGCGATCTCTATAAAACTTCTTTATGTGAACAACTACAAAAATGCATGAAATCATTGCAGCCAAGTATTTGAACATAAAGATTAATTATATTTAATAAAATAAAATAGAAATGTTTTTTAATTTTCGTTAAATTATTATGTAATTTTTTACATAAATCAAAGACAAACTCTTTATAATGAGATAAAAAAAAATTCAATACATGAAGAAAGTTGACAGCCTTATTACGTTTTAAAATTTTAAAAATAGAAACAAAAATTGAATTAAAAACAAAATTTCTCTTTTTTTATAAAAATTTATTTAAACACAATTAACTTGGCGTGGCTCTTACAGCTGTAGATAAAACTATAATTGATTAGATGGTTCATATAATCGATAGCCACGCCAAGTTAATTGTGTTTAAATAAATTTTTATAAAAAAGAGAAATTTTGTTTTTAATTCAATTTTTTTTTCTATTTTTAAAATTTTAAAACGTAATAAGGCTGTCAACTTTCTTCATGTATTGAATTTTTTTTTATCTCATTATAAAGAGTTTGTCTTTGATTTATGTAAAAAATTACATAATAATTTAACGAAAATTAAAAAACATTTCTATTTTATTTTATTAAATATAATTAATCTTTATGTTCAAATACTTGGCTGCAATGATTTCATGCATTTTTGTAGTTGTTCACATAAAGAAGTTTTATAGAGATCGCACTTGATGAACGATGATTATCGTCTTCGTTATTCATACTTGGCGCGTATTTTTGTGAAGTCCGTTAGGGTTTTTGGTGTGATTTCACGATTTTTTGTACAACAAATGGAATATATATTATTCGACTCCGTTACTACGACATGGAATTTTAGAACAGACATCACTATCTGTATATAGATTGTACAGTACCAGACATAAATGCTGTTCAATTTTTTAAGGGTTCTACAGGCGATTTTCCTATACCGTCCTATAGAAAATCACACAGCATTTATGTCCGGTACTGTATAATAGTCTTCAGTCTGGTAGTATTTAACTATCAACTCAATAAAAAAAAAATTGTTATCTTTTACCGATCTTGAGATATAAACAAAATTATTGATTGAAGGACATGAATTAGTTTTCAAAAAACGTAAAACGATTTTTTTTAAAACGTCAAACCATCGGTAATACATTCTATGTATTACCTATCAACTTAAAATGTACATAAATATTTGTCGTTTTCGATACCGAAAAACTCGGTCGGCATAATACGGACACGGCATAATGACAGCGCTGAATGTACGATCGATCGTCGCGCATAACATCCACGCAGGTTCAGAATTAGAAGCGGCACCTTAAATTTTCCGGCATATTAGATTTTTGCGCCTTTTCTGATTTTAACTTATAAAATCTAAAAAGTAATAAGTGAGGAGATGTAAGTAAAACAATTAGTGCAATAATTCATATGAGCACATAAATTTTAGTTCTATTCTTTAAATTTTTCCTCCTCTCTTTTTCTTCAATTTAGTAGGATACAATTTCTCTTCTATTGCATTCCCACCATCAACTTTTTTCATGAGAATTTCCTACAAATAAAAGAAAAGAAATACTTATTATGTTCAATTTTTAATTATTGTGATTAAATGTAAAAAATAGATTAGCTACCTTACTTATCATTTATGAGTCACTTAATTTTCGTTAAACATTATAAAATAAATAACAATCTCTGGACTTTGTACACTTTGGTTTTCTTTAGGGGGAAATTGACCGTTCAGAATGAAGTCGTAAGTAGACAGAAGATTCATGCTGCATTCACATGAGAGTGAATCAAAAGTCAACAGAATAACTATTTGAATTCTTCTGTAAATCTATATTTAGAATTTTCCCAAAAACTTAATTCAAATAAAAAGTAATTTTGAAAAAAATTATTAATAATTTTAACACAATTTTAACTGTTGCGTCTTTAATGCCTTATACTATTGTACTGGAGCGACATTTGTACCAGAATTATACTGTCCTGAACATTTTGGCCATATAACATTTGTGCCCCTTTCGAAATGTGCTAGCAGTAAATTTACAATGTTGGTAGAGTAGAAACAGTTTCAACCGTTCATTGTGTTTATTTATTCAATGATCCTCTAGTACATGTATTTATTGGATATAAAGTATATTCATTATGATTAGTAGAATATTCATTGATTATTTTTTTATATTTTTTTATTTATTTACCAAAAAAAGTATATTTTTAAATTTATCTGTACCTCAAAATTATAAAAAATTCAAAAACACATGAAAACATGATTTTAAATCTACTTAATTTTCTCCTAATATTTTTAATAATTTGTCAAACCCTTTTCTTTTCTTTTCCAACTTCTCTTCTTCTTCTTTTTTCTTTTTGATGTGTAATATCTGGAAAAAGAAAAAGACATTGAACTATAAAATGACAATGTTCATTTGGTTGTACTTTACTTCATTGTTATTGCAATAAAATAACCTTTACATTTTGTTTCGCAGCTTGAGATTTTTCCCTCAACAGCGCTAAAAGAACATTTATTGAAAGATGGTTGTTTTATTTAAGTAATAGGTACACGGTATATCCCCCCCCCCAATTGATACACTCCCCAAAACTTTATTACTTTTTATTAATTTTTTATACCAAAAAAAATTTACATTCATAATTTGGCGCCTCAGTAATTCTTTCGTTTTTTACCAACATAATATTTTCCATAGTCATGCAGCAACTTCATGGTAGTACCAACTTTATAAAAAAAAATCGTACTTTTAAGGAAAAAGATTCTTTTTACTTAAAATGCGGTCCAAGGGGCGTGGCCAATTTTTTTTTGCAAATAAATGATTTTGAGGACACAATAGTAATTGCAATTTATTGTCGTAGCTAATCAATGGGGTTTTCAAAGATTATTTAATAAAGTTTATGTCATCATTGCAGAGAAATTAGAAATTTAAAGGAGCGTAACCTCAAAAGTGCTAATTTGAGCGGAATAGAGACACGGTAGTGCCTTCGTCACCGCTATTCATACTTGGCGCTCGAGACACTACTAAAATAAACGTGTCTCTTGATAAAAGTACCGTTTCTATCTTTGTTTCACGCGCATGTGCATTAAACGACTTGATATGGCACAAAATTTAAATTAAAATACATGCACCATAAATAGCATAGGAAGAAATTTTGATATCTGTTTTTATTTTATTAATAAATTTTAATCGTAAAAAGAAGTTTATTTTTTTAGAAAATTACAAAAGAATTCAACAATTACGTTTATTTACTAAGACGAAAATAAAAAATAAAATTTTTTTATATCTCGCTTAGTTTTCGAAATATCGATACTTTAAATTTTGGATTTATATGGGCTTATACATGGGTTTAATTTTGGACTCCAGAATTAAAGAGTTCTCTACACTGACAGAAATTTTTTCCGGTGGCGAATTATAGAATTTACTTGTCCCCAGTATAAAAGTGATAGGTAAAAAAGTTTCGGAAGGCAGGTAAAGAAAGTACCTGGAATCAGTAAAACTTCGTTTTAAAATAAATAAAAAAAATACTGAGTCTAAATACAGAATACACTACTCCTGAGTAGACTACAAGCGGTTGAAGAAGTAATAAGTATACAAGTTTTATGAAAATAAAGTACTTGTATTTAAGTAGTCTTTCTACTTGGAATCAGTATAATGTGAGCCAATGTATTTTGTTTATCTCAAGTAGGTAGATAATAAAAGAAGATTACAAAGTTTACTTGATGATTGTACAGTACACTTTAAATTTCATTTTGATATAAAATGTACTTGCATCAAAAAATAATTATACTCAAATTAAGTATATTTTGTGTTTGCCGCTAGTATACTTTCTAGCTATCACATTTTTTCTGTCAGTGTACGGTGGCGGCCTTTGGCCGGACCATTTAATGATCAAAAATCATCCTGTAAGTACATTGTACCAAGTTACAAAAATTTTTGCGAGTCAAAAAAAATCGCGGCGCCACGGAAACCGTAATCTCCCCCTTAATTGAGAAATTATTTGAAATTTGTTTGTTTTTTAGAATAATTGAATTAAAAGTGTTTAGGAAATTTTAAGCCAGTAAAGAAGCTGAAACTATTGATGTAAATACACCAATTGTAGGTGTTTATTGTCATTAGTTAATTTTTAAAGTATTTTATCAAGTTTATTATTTATTTAACTCAGACATATTTGATTTTTTTTTCTGTAAGTAATAGAATTATCACTATTGCTTCCGGAAAAAAATAATATTGAGTATAGGGTTCCTTTCATCGCATAAAATTTTGTTCTCTTTACCTTTCTACTCTGATAGATAAATTTGCAGATAAATTCAATGCAAAATGTAACAATTACGGAATGAAATTTTTTTGGGCAAAATTTTTCCTCAATTTTAGAGGTTTATGTTTAAATGAAGGTAGCTGTCCTTAAAAACATTCAGTATGTAAAATAAATTTCTACCATTTTAGTTTTCACCGAATAAAAAGAGAAAAAGTAAAAATTATGGATATTATTGTAAATCCTGTAAAAATTAAAAGTTCTTTTGTGAACTACGATTAGATAAACTATTTTACTATTTAAAGTTTTTTCGAGAAAAAAATAAAAACCGCAAAGAAAATTCATATTAATGATTTAATTATTGTGATATACATAATAATATAGTTGCATAATCAAATCAACAAATGTTTTCTTCCACAAAAACTAACCTCAAGTTATGTTATCACTGTACTATATTTTTCTCCCTCAGTAAACTCATGATCTTTATTTTTCCGGATATTAGTGGGTTGCGATTTAAACTAACCTCAACTATAGACTCTATCAATACCGGGACTTGAGACATGATTTGATTTATAATAATGTCAAATCTTTCACGAAAAATTGTAGAAATACTTTCCACAAAAGTTAACAAATCGCCTATGTTAACAAATGCCATTGAAGCAGCAACTGAACGAGCTCAAGTGCAATTTTCTAACATCCAAAATGTTGCAACAAAAAAATATGATACCATTGTTAAGGTATGTAACAGTTAAATATAGACAAACATGAATATTGATCATCAATGACAGAATATATACATTTATGTCTTATTTAGCAAATCAATGGAGCTACAATAATTCAAGATTTGAAGTCTGCAGCTCTGGAGCCAGTTACTCCAATTCCAAAGCAATTAGTTGCATGGTGGAAGTGGTATCAACATTTAACAGGATTGGAGGACGTAGAAGTGGCCAGACAGCAGATGATTCATGTTCAGGATAAATTATTTGATTGTCAAAATCGTCGACGAAATTTAATGCATCAATCAGCTTTGATTGCTGATAAATTGAAGGAAGTTTATACCGAATTAGTTCAAACACAACGGGAAGATCCTAAATATGTACACTTAACAATCATGGAAAATAAAGCTCTGCAAGAAAAAACTAGACTTATGTCACGATTAAATTTATTAGAAAATGAAGAGAGAGACTACTTTACTCAGCTTGCAACAGCTATAAAAGAATATCATGATAGCCAGAATATGAATGCTCAAAAGTATAAATATTTATCGATTCTTGCATCCGCCATAATCGCGATACTATCTTTGGGTGGATCAATGATTTATAATAATAAAAGGATAGTCGATGTTCACAAGATCATTGAAGAAGGTCAAGGAAGAAATGAATCACTTTTTCGAAGTTACTTCGATTCTTTGAAGGATAGTATAGATGAATTAAAAAATGAAAGAAAGACTGTTATGCATCGAAGTGTAATTCCTGAATTAATTGTAACCGATGGAGATTTAAATGTATCTTTACTAGAAAAGAAAATAATTTTAGGATGTGTTTTTGTTTCGTTAATTTATGTATTGAGCAGAATTACTTAATTATTCGATTAAATGGAAGGATTACTTGCCAAATAATTTGTATTCTTTGTATTTTAAATAAAGTTATGTGTATATAATGTACAGAATAAAAATACAGTTGTGTATATATCTTAGTATTTTATTTACAACGCAAAATTTTATTTCAAATATTAATTGACGAACTGCAGGTAATCATATAACAATAAATCAATCGAGTATTAAAGTTGAATAAAAATTTTTCATCTTAATGTATTTGAAGAATAAATATTTTTTTTCAATAACAACATTGAAAGTTGACAGAAGTTTGTCAAATTTCATTCAAAAAATTATAATAAACTCTAAGAATCCCATGATTTCCATTCCATACCATCAGGTGGACGCATCTCTACCTTATTTTGACCAACATCTGACCAATTTGTGCTTAACACGGTGCCACCAGACTCTTGCTATTGTGAATTAAACGAGTAATTAATAATTACTATTTTATTGATATTTTTTTTTTTAAATAGATTTAAGTTTTAGATACTTACGAAGGATTTATTCATAGCTCTTCGTACTTCATCTGAACCACTACAGTAAATCTTTTGGAAAAGAGAGTTGAGTGCAGCATCACCTTCAAGTTTTTCGTCAGCCTCTTGTTTCTCTAATTCTTTTTCAACTTTATTCCAATCTTTCGATTTTTTACTTGAACTCGGATATTTTGGAGGTTGATTAGATTGAAGAATTTCTTTTAAAAAATTAAATAACAAATTCGTCGTAATTCCATCGTAAACGTGTCTGTAATTAAACTAAAGTTGAAATAATTGTTATTTACCACGAGGTATCGGCTGTACTGAATCGGATACAGCAGGATTTCCTTCAAGGACAGTCCATCGTAAGGCATCTCTTTTTTTGAGTTTAATTTCTATTTTTGATGGTACAACTTTGAATGAACACTGCTGTGGTACTATGTGATGAGCTAAATCCAATTCCAGACTGTACTCATTTCCCGATGGCAGTTTCGCACCAACACTTAACTACACGTATTTGTTTAACCGATAAGTTATTTTATTCCGAATTAATAATACTGTTACAATCATTAAACTCAAGGATTACTTACTGTAAAGTCTTCGAATTGAACCTTGACATTCTCTGCATTCTTTGTTAATACGGTTATTACAACATTGGATTCTGTTTGATACCAATCATATTTAATTTTTGGAGCAGGCATCTAAAATAATAAATGATACAATCAAACACAAATATTTGATAGACAGAACGGTTTGATGCAGAAAAATGTTATTTTGATAGGAAAGTTACTCTTGATGTGAAACATAAAAAATATAGATTCAGCTTTACTTACTTGATTGTTTTCAATTTTAGTAACGTCTGTATCATTAGTCATTTTACTTTTATAGTATTTATATCAATTACAATTAATATTTGATTTATATGTTTACTTATTCACTATTATTATTCTACTTATATCAAATTTGTAGATTTATCTATAGTCTTTCAAATTTCTGGAAACATCACGAAAAAAATCGAAACGACCTCTTTTTGGTTTTTAACATATAATACATACACTACGCGACATAAATGCGGTCCAATTTTTTGAAGGTTATAAATCCAATTTCCTATACTCTCTTATACCAATTCAGACAGCATTTATGTCGCGTAGTGTATGTACAGTACCGGACATAAATGCTGTGTGATTTTCTATAGGACAGTATAGGAAAATTGCATGTATAACCTTCAAAAAATTAAACAGCATTTATGTCCGGTACTGTATGTAAATATAAGACCTCTCTCTGTATAAAGACAACATATATGTACAAGTTCAGACTCACTCTGTATACAAATTACTGAATTACTAATTTTGTTGATAAAAAGATTCACTGGTAGCTCGACAGTTGATAAAAGCAAAGCATTTTATTGTAATTTAATTTATAAATTTTTTTAAATTAGATTGTTCAAACAATTCAACAATTGTTAATTATTTTTGTTTAATACTCATACATATGTATATTGACAAAAAAATTATTAATTTTAAAATGTATCTTTGAAAAAAGTAAAAATCATTAATAAAAGAAATATAGACTTGTATAGAAAATATATAATTATGATTAATCTTTTAACACAGCAAATATTACATAAAATGAGATTATTAATGAAGTGATTATTTATTTATTCATTATTTTTTGAATTTTAGTATTTATGAAAATAAGTATTATAATGGAAGTAACATAATATTCCAAAACTTGTGGCATAGTATTAACTAAATTGTCAAATTATTTTAGAAATAGTTTGTTGCGTGAACCTGAGTCAAGATATTTTATAATTGACATCTTAAACATGATACTTGTACTATTGAAGAAAGATATCATCTGATGTATAATTAAAATTAATTCTTAATTTAAAAAAAACATCATCGGAAGATAGTTTAAAGACTAGACAAATATGTGCATAGCAAATCGTTACAACTTAGAGTAGTTAAAAACGATAAATAACAATTAACAGATAATTGATTCGTAGAAAATTCATTGTACAGATAAAATTAGTTGATTCAACTAGAATGCAATACATAAAAGGCATTGAAATGTACAAGTTTGGAAGAAATATTGTTGCATTTTGTAAATAATATTGCTTGGTATGTATACTGTCAAAATATATTAGAATTTATGACTTAAGACCTCTATGTTTACGTTTCATCCGTGCATAAGGTCCTATATCAGGATCCATAATAAAATCGTAGAGGACAGCGGTCCAAGAATGATGCTGAGGTAGATTGTCGTAAAATTCTGCTGCTATTCTTTTAACTTCTGGTAGTCGAGATCCTGGTACAGCAGGAAAATCATGATGTTCATTATGATAACCTACATTGAATGTAATAAAGTTAAGCGGGCCATAATAACTATAGGTTTCATAACCTTTTCTGTACATGTAATGTTCAGAAATAAAATGTCCAGCTACTGGATGTAATCCCATAGCCATTAAACCACCAACAATAAAATATAATAAGACTTTGCCACCTATGAAATAAGATTCATTGTTAATAATCACAAAAATAATAAATTCAACGAATGAATTGAAAAGAAAATTTTGAAAAGATTTGATCTTACCGAAAAAGTACCATACTAGAGCATCAAATATTAGTTGAATAACTAAATTAATATACTCCATTTGTGTTGGCGCTTTCGGATATGTTATTAAAGGCCTAAATGAATAAAAAAATGGTTGTAGTACAACCCAACAAAATTTTCCAAATGTCGTACAAAATAGTTTGGCTTCTAGCAATGTAGGCAAGTCAGTATCTAGGTACTCATCTCCTTGATACTAGAAACAATAAAGAGATAAGATACCGTAATATATAAAAACTAATGAAATATACAGCATAATTCTTAAAATTAATAAATCTTACTCGATGATGTTCCAGGTGATATTTTTTAAAGCTGATTGAAATTGGTATTCCGATCGGCAAATTTGCAAAGAATCCAAATAATTTATTAGCCAACGGTTTCGAGTGGCCAAAGGCAAGATTATGAGCAATTTCATGAATAGCTGTATTAAGTAATATTATTAATAAACCAATTGTAAGTAATTCTCATCAAAAATATGTTAGATGATAAGCTAAGCCATGACTCACCTAACATTAATGAATGATTGATTACTCCACCAAAACAATAAGCCAATAAAAATAACATTGGATAATTCAAATTTTTGACAATAAACATTGATGCAAACTGGACCAATACCATTCCTGTTACTACCCATTTAAAATTAGGATCATAACCAAAAAGTTTTTTTATCTGTGGATATTTTTCTAGAAATTAAATTTCAATCCAACATTAGAATTAAACAATTGCTTAATAGTTTTAAATCTTACTGATAAACGTTGTTTTAATCTTAATGTGTAACTATACCTAAAATTATTTTTCGTCGACTCGCATGTGGTTCTTCCGTAAATACCCATTCAAAGTCTGTTCTTGAAACGTGTTGACCCATTTTTAACAATTTTATTTTACTACTTTTACTTTTTATATCGAATTAACTAATCATTTAACCAAAAGCGATGTGAGAACTTTCCGTACATTGTACCGGCAACTATATATTGTCGAACTGAGAAAAGAGTTCCTTAGTTGCTTCCATGGAGAATATAATAAGGAGGCCGAGCTTAGGGATGGGATTTTGGTACTAAAAGTAGAGTTGGTGGATAGTTCTCCTAAATTCTACAGGCAGCGCTGATGTCAAGAAGCGTCAGAAAAATTGAAACAAGTGGGAGAATAGAAAAAGAGAGAGGGAAAAGAAAATTAAAGCGCGACAGTGGTAGATCCGCTCACATTAGTTGAGGCCAGACAGCCTAGACAAGAAGGTACAGAAAACATGATTTTTGTAGCTTTTAAAATTTGTAACTTTTTTCAACATTAATATTAAGGAATAAAAATTGGCAGACTAATAGAGAACAGTCTGATCTATGATCCTGTCTGATGAAAATGATTGAAAACTGTGAATTGACCTCGCTACAGATTTTAGAAGGTGAAAAAGCATGGTTTCTGTACCTTCTTCTCTAAAATTGATGCTCTCATAATTGCCTGCGCGGTCGATTCACGGTTTTTAATTATTTTAGTTGGGCAGGATTATAGATCAGACTGTTCTCTATTAGTCTGCCAATTTTTATTCCTACAGTTATTCAATAGACGATTATTGTTAATTAAATTGATGAGTTGGGAATTTTTTCAAAAGAGCGTCTGCTTCAAAAGTACAGCAAGACGGAAAGGCTGGACGCTGAAAGGTCAAAGCAGCGCTCGCTATCTGTCCCTTTAGATATTCAAAATAGTCATTAAAATTTCTTTTTTTTTATTGATGTTCGCAATCGTCAATTTCTTGTTTTTCTTAAATTACTTTTCTGAAAAATTTTTTTTTCTACGCAGGGAGTTGATTTCAGATTATTTTGTATTAAATTCAATTCTATTAGTTTTTCATTTTGCTTCGATTTCGGTCCCTCAGAGGGAACCACTTTCTGTCTTCATGCTCCTCTCCTCTCCATCATATTTTAAAAATCATGCACCGATTATTGGATTCATTAAGCAAAAACTTATATTGTTAGAAGAACAAGAGAAACAAGTACAATTTTGGTGGGTTCCGGCCCATTGCGGAATTAACTACAACGAAGTGGTAGACATCGCCGCAAAAGAGAGCTGTGTAAAGGGAATCGATTCTCAGTTCACTATACCTAGCTCCGACTTCAGAAGTAGATGGAAGGAAAAAATGAAAGTAGAGACAAGTCAATGGTGTAAAAATTTAGGTAGAGAGAAAGGTATTAAATACTTTCAGAATTATGCCTCAGAGGACGCGACTCCATGGTATCAGAGGATCAGACTCCGGAGAAAAGCTTTTGTAACTTTTAATAGGATGCGCTCAGGCCATCACTCTCTTAAAGAAAGTCTAATTAGATTTAATATTGTTGATTCAGATATATGTGAATGTGGTGAAGCCAGAGAAACTATTAATCATAATTTTTGGCAGTGCAAAAGATTTGAGTGTGTAAGAAGTCAGTTTGTTAAAGAGCTTATCAAACAGGGATTTTTCCCACCTTTTTGTATAGAGTCATTTTTGCATAGTATGACACCAAATGCAATTTTTGTGATTGCGAAATTCTTAAACAGTATCGACTGTAATATATAATTAATATTAAGTATAAGAGTTATTGTGTTTTGTGTCACGGAAAGTATAAATAGCTTATAAGTTATTATATTTTTATTTTTATAAAATTCCCAAAGAAAAGGAAAAACTAAAGTATTTCTGAAGCAAAGGGTAAAGCCAGAGGAAATATAGGTTATAGTCTAATATTATTGGAAGTGGTTCAGTAATTACATATCACTATTATAAGTAGTTATAAAGGTATAAAGAAAATATTTTTGTTAAAAAACCTGTATAATATTGTAAATTGGCGGAATGGGCAATACAGCCTAGCGCCATCTATCTCCTTATTTACTCAATAAAAAAAAAATCCTCTCCTCTCAATTATGATGCTCCGCTTTATATGCCCTCTCTTCTTTTCTATTTCGACGCTTCCTGATGCCAGCGCCGCTTGTTGCGTTTCTGTGTACTACCCTACAACTCTACTTTTTGATACTTATTTTTTTGCCTACTTCCCCAACGTCAGTGCGGTCTCCTTATTATACTCTCCATGCCGTTGAGCTACGACGCATACTAAAATTTAATTACTATAACTTAATTTTAAGTTGTGAAAGGGAGGTGACTTACCCTTCTTCAATTGCCAATTCTTCCTCTACGGTAGTGACGCTTGCGCACAACAGTTCAAATGAAAAGAAAGAGACAGACATATTCATTTTCTGTCTCACTTCATAAGCCACGCGCCCACTTACGGGAACTAGCAATATGGGAGTATTAGATATATGATTCCAACTACCGGAGGGACTCATCATTTAACATTGTATTTTTTGAAGCTACAAAAGAGGTCAGCACTTAAAATGATTTATAATAAATAATAAGTTGAAATTGTGGTGACAACATGGACGGAGCATCTATCGATTCGCCATTAGTTACAAATTTAAGATTTCGGAGAGTAGTCAAAGGTTATTGAATTCACTTATGCAAGAAAATCAGTCTCGGGTAAATACAGATGCTAATTCTTTGATGGAAATTAATCATAACCTAGATAAGATGGCGCATAGCGCTAGCTACAACAATGAAAAGGAAAACAATAGTCAAGATGACAATAAAACAAAAACAGGTGGCAATAATAACAACGAGGATAAAATTAAATTATTAAAAAACAATGCTTATGAAACAACAGCTATAGGACCTCATGTGGTTCATTATGAAATGATTGACACATCAAACCTAAAAAACTCAATAGATAGAATTATTATTGGTAAAAGACTAACTGCAATTACTAAAAATGTTAAGGAGATTCACGTACTAGGTAAAGCTAAATTCGAAATCACCTGTGATAGTGCTAAGTCAGCCAATTGGCTCGCCAATTGCAAAGAACTAAACAAAGACAACTGGTTTGCATATATCCCCAGTTATAAAATAGTTAAAAAAGGTATTGTTAGAAATATTCCGAGTGACGTCACAATAGACGAGTTCATTAAAGAAGTCAAGTGTTCTGTACCTGTAATTAACGCTATAAGACTGAATAAGAAGATTATTGATGATGAAAAAAAGTCTAAATGGATTCCATCTAACACTCTTCTTGTTACCTTCAAAGGTCAAAGGATCCCTGAATATGTAACTTTATATTTTTGCAAATACAACGTTCAAATATACGTACCTGATGTAAAAATTTGTTATAAATGTTATAGATTTAGACATTTGTTAAAACAATGTAAAGGTAAAGCTAGATGTGAAAGATGTGGAGAATATGACCATACCAAATCACAATGTACTAAAGACTCGCCAAAATGTTCTAATTGTGGAGGCGCACATGGTGCCACTGACAAGAAATGCCCTAAATTTATTGAACTAAAAAACATCCAAGCTATTATGGCAAAGGAAGGACTTTCATCTAGAGAAGCAAGATTAGCAGTTAGAGGTAGAAGAACGCAACCAAATTTGGATGTCAACGATTTCAGTTTCCCTAGATTTTCACATGTGGATGTCAAATCTCCTCGTACCTTTTCCGAGGTTGCTTCAAAATCTAATATGGTAAAAATCTTTTTCCCGAGAGAAATGGATTCAGAGTCATTCAGAAGTGCTAGAAAGAGGCCCAGAATCATTTCTGATGTCAGACTAGACCAAGCTAGGTTTTTGGTCGCTCACAAGGAGATCATTTCAACAAAATATGATCATCTTCCAAATGGTAGTGCTCTTCCTAAGACTATTGGCGAAGGTTCTTCATCAAATGATCTAGATAATCTTTATCAATACCTTATTACTTTAGATGACTTTATCAAAAAAATTCTTTCTAAACCAATTACACAGGCCGGTTTGAACACCGTTAAGAAGGCCGGAGCTTTCTCCAAAAGTATTTATGAGAATCTAGAAAAATTATCATCGCAAATCCGGAACAGTCATAATCAATTATTACTGGGCCCCGTAGCCCTTTAATTTATGTAAAATTAAAAGTAATATAAAACTTCTCCAGTTTAACTTAAAATCGCTACATTTATCAACTGCACACCGAGCCATTCGGCATCTTATTCTTCTACGTCTATAATGGCTAATAAAATTAATATCTTACAGTGGAATTGTCGAAGCTTTAAAAATAAACGGATTGAATTGGAGAAGCACGTCGCAAACTTTGATTTCGATGTAATAGTTCTTATTGAATCCTGGCTGAAACATGACCAGGTTATCCATTTAAGAGGCTTCAATGTCGTAAGAGCGGATAGATCAGACGGACAAGGTGGAGGTCTGGCCATTTTCATTAAGAAGGGCATCCAATTTAATTATTTACATGATTTGGAGGACTCTGATGGAGTCATTAACACTTGTGCTATTTCTGTTAAGACTTCCAAAGGTCAAATTATCATAGCAGCTGGATACAGAAGACCTCAAGCCAAACCTTCTATGGAAGAATGGACACATTTTGTGCGCGGATTTCAACGCTCATCATTGTGCCTGGGGTAGTGAAGAAAATTGTTCTCAAGGAACTTTGCTTAGTGATATTGTCGAAAATTTCAACACGTTAGTTTTAAACAATGGATCTCCAACACGATCGGGTTATTCTAATCAAAGAGAAACTCATGTAGATGTGTCGATCGCCTCGGCTCAGCTTTTTGACTTATGTTCTTGGAAAATCGGCAAGGATCTTTGGAGCAGTGATCATTTTCCCATTTTCTTGGAGATCTCTTCAAACGCTGTCAACGTTACTCCGTTAAGATCTACTTTTAATCTGAAAAAAATTGATTGGAATCAATACGATAGAGAGCTTCTGTTGCTTTCCGATGATCTAAGTTCCTCACTTAAAGATCCACTTATAAGGGGAGATGTATTATACTCGGAGTTCTTCCAGAGATGGTCTAATGTTATCGAAAACTTAGTCCCTACTAAAAAGCCTAACCTTACACGGAGGAACTCTCCTCCATGCTTCTGGTGGGATGAAGATTGTAATAGGGTAGTCCGATTAAGGAAGGCTGTACAGTTGAAGTATGATTACCTACGAAGCTCAGAGAACCTGGAAAACTTGCAAAAAGCCCGCACTAACGCTAAAAATACTTTTGAGCGCAAGAAAAG